GCAAATAGGGACAGAAAAATGGCGGCACAAAATAGGAACCCAAAAACGGGACACCGAAAATGGGATCGCAAAAACAGGACCCTAAAAACAGGAACCCAAAACGGGGTGACAAATAGGGACAACGAAATGAGGGCACAAAAAACGGGGGAACAAAATGGGGCCATAAAACGGGACCCCAAAAACGGGGCACCAAAAACAGGACCCCAAAATGGGACCACAAATAGGGACACAAAAAACGGGACCCCAAAATCGGGAACCCGAATCAGGATCACAGAAACAGGGCCACAGATCAGGACCCCAAAAAGGGACCCCAAAAACGGGACCCTAAAATGGTCCCAAAGCGGGACCCCAACCCAGGATCCCAAACCCAGCACCCCCCACCCCAGTGGGAGAGCACCCGAAAATCCCTGATCCCAGTGGGGTTCCCATGGGGTTCGGGGTTCCCTTGGGATTTTGGGGTCTCAGGGACTTCCCTTGGGGCTCCCATGGGGTTTGGGATTCCCTTGGCTTTCCCTCGGGGTTTGGGGTTTCGGGGATTCCCATGGGGTTCCCGTGGGGTTTGGGGTTCCCATGGGGTTCATTTGGGGTTCCCATGGGATTCTCTTGGATTTCCCGTGGAGTTGGGGGTCCCCGTGGGTTTTCCGAGGGTTTCCCATGGGGTTTGGGGTTCTCTTGGGGTTCCCATGGGGTTCGGGTCACGGGGGTGTCGCTGTCCCCTCACCTGCAGGATGGCCCCATAGACGCGCAGCAGCACCTGCCGGGGCTCGTCCCCCACGCTCGAGATGTGCTCGGGCAGCGCGCACTTGTACAGGAGATTACTGAGCCCCCCGCTGCGGGATTGGGGGGTCGGGGGGTCAGAGGGGACACCGGGGGACACCGGCACCGAGGGGACACCGGGGGACACCGAGCCACGCGCTTGTACGGGAGGTTCCCGAGCCCCCGGTGAGGGATTCTGGGGGTTCAGAGGACACCGGGGGACACCGGGAACCGAGGGGACACGGGGGGGACAGTGACATCCCTGCTCGGGATGTGCTGGGGAGCCTGGCAGGGGACGCTGGGGACAACGGATGGGGGACACTGGGAGAGGGACCGGGACCGTCACACTGGTGCGGGTGTGACAATAAAGGGAAACTGGGGGACAGGGACGCTGGTCCAGGGAGCGACTGGGAGGGGACACTGGGGGACAGGGACACTGGTTCGGGGTGGGGCAACTGGAGATACTGGGAGAGGGACAAGGGTCAAGGAAGGCAGCTGGGACAGGGACACCGGTCCGGGGGGCAACTGGGGCCACTGGGAGGGGCACTGGGCTATTGGCCACGGAGGCAACTGGGGGACGGGTCCGGAGGGCAACCGGGGACACCGGAACACCGGCCCGGGGGGCAGCTGGGGACACTCAGAGGGGGACAGGGACACTGGTCCGGGGGCAACTGGGGCCACTGGGAGGGGGGGACAGGGCGGAGGGGGAGCCGAACCCTGGGACGAGACCACTGCGAAGAGGGAGGGGGGGGAGCGCCTCTCGTCGGTTCCGCTTCCTACCTGATCGGCCAAATGCCGAACTCCTCCGGGCTGATGAGCTTCCAGGAGCCGGACAGGAACTCGCGGCACCAGGCGTAGGCCTGCAGGCGGGTGGCGGCGGGGACATCGCCGTCCTCGCTGCAGCTGCCCCGGCCCCCCGCCGCCGCCGCCATGGTCGCCCCCGCCCCGTCCCGCTCGGCCCGGGCGGGGCCCGCACAGCTGCTGACCAATAACAACGCGCTTCGCTGATTGACGGCTGCATCAGCCAATAGAAAGGCGGATCTGGGAGGCGACGCGTGCGCGGCAGCCAATGAGCGCACTCGGCGGGATGCGGCGGAACGTGGAGGTGAAGGCGCGGCTGAGGGCGCGGGAGGAAGCGCTCGGGGCGGCCCTCAGGCTGCAGGGGCTGCCCCAGGTGTGCCCCGGGGCAGGGCAGGGCAACGCTGAGGGACAGGTGTGCCCCGGGGCGGGGCAGGTGCTGCTCCAGACCGATACGTTCTTCCGAGTGCCGCGGGGCCGGCTCAAGCTGCGCAGGACACAGGTGAGGGGTGGCTGGAGGGGCTGGGCTTGGCCTTGGTCCCCGCCTTCACCTGTCCCCGTCCTCACCTGTGCTCACCTGTCCCTGTGCTCACGTGTCCCCAGGACGGTCGGGGCGAGCTGATTTTCTACGAGCGTCCCGACAGCGCCGGCCCCAAACTCTCGAGTTTCAGCATCACCCCCACGGCCGACCCCGAGGGGCTGCAGGTGAGCGGGGGGCGAGGGCTGGGGGTGGCCCTGTCACCCTCCTGTCACCCCCCCGTCACACCCCTGTCACCTGCTCTGTGCCTCCAGGCGGTGCTGGCACTGTCCTTGGGCACTGTGAGGTCCCTGTGTCACCCCTGTGTCACCCCTGTGTCACCCCTGTGTCACCCCTGTGTCACCCCTGTGTCACCCCTGTGACCCCTGTGTCACTCCTGTCACCCCCAGGCAGTGCTGTCCCAGTCCCTGGGCGTGCTGGGCACCGTGAGGAAGGAGCGGCTCCTGTTCCTGCTGGGCCAGACCCGGCTGCACCTGGACCGGGTGCAGGGCCTTGGGGACTTCCTGGAGCTGGAGGTGAGGGGACAGCTCTGGGGACACTGCCGGGGCAGGGGTGGCACCCCCGGGTGACCCCTGGTGTCCCCTGGGTGTCCCCAGGTGGTGCTGAGGCCGGAGCAGAGCGTGCAGGACGGGCAGCGCCTGGCACAGGAGCTGCTGCGGGAATTTGGGATCGAGGAGCAAGATCTGATCTGCGGGGCCTACCTGGATCTGCTGCTGGCACAGGGACAGGACGGGGACAACGGGGACACCGCCCAGTGCCACCCCTCAGACGGGCAGGGACAGCAGGGCTGAGGGCAGGGGGGTGTGGTGGTTGTGCCAGGGATGGGCTGTGCCCACCCCATAAACACCCTGTGCCTTATCCTGTCCCATTAACACCCTGTGCCCACCCCATTAACACCCTGTGCCTTATCCTGTCCCATTAACACCCTGTGCCCACCCCACAAACAACCCCTGCCCCAAAACTCCCCCCAGAAACCCCATAACTGCCCCCAGTGCCACTCTGTCCCCCCCAGGGCCACCCTGTCCCTCTGTCCCCCACGCTTGATCCCAAATAAACTCTGAGCCCACCCCGTGCCCGTGTCCAGCTCTGTCCGTTCCGATGGCCTCGGGCCACCCAGGGCCACCAGGGCCACCCCTGCCATCCCCCCCGTGTCACCCCCCGTGCCCGTGGTGACAATGGGGACAGCCCCGGGGGGGTGGCAGCGATGCCCAGCCCTGAGCCCGGATTATGTCCGGCACCATCCGGAGCCTGGGATGTGCCAGGGGTGACAGATGGGTGACAGGGGGGTGACAGGGGGGTGGTGGCATCAGTGCCAGCTGCTGCTGCCACCCCCAGCCTGCCCGGGGTGGAAAACTGAGGCTGGAAAATCCCCTGGGATCCGAGTGGCCGAGGCCACCGTGTGTCCCCAAGTGCCACAGTCCCTGCGGGGATGGGGATCCCAAACCTTTTCCAGGAGGAGTTTCCTCACATTTTCCAACATTTCCCAAATTTTCCAAAGGTTCTGGTGGCCCTGGTGAGGCCTGGACTCTGGAGAGTCCTGGAGGGGCTGGAACGGGGCCAGGGAAAGGAACAGAGCTGGGAAAGGGATGGAAAAATCCAGAGGGATTTGGGAATGGGGCTGGGACAGGGCCCTGCCCTGGTGGGCAACCCCAAAACCCCAAAGGAACGAGGGTGGGAATAGGAATGTTGGGATTGAGATGGGGCTGGGAATGTTGGGGTGAAGATGAGATTGGGAATGTTGGGATGGATGGATGAGAATGTTGGAATGGGTACTGGGAATGTTGGGATGAAGATGGGAATGTTGGGATGGATGAGAATGTCTGAGTGAAAACTGGGATTGGGAATGTTGGGATTTAGATGGGACTGGAAATGTTGGGATGGATGGGAATGGGAAAGTGGGGTGAAAACTGGGAATGTTGGGGTGGATGGATGGATGGATGGATGGATGGATGGATGGATGGATGGATGGATGGGAACGTTGGGATGAAGATGGGAACGTTGGGATGGATGGGAATTTCGGGAAGGAGCACAAGCAGGAGCAGGCCATGGGGGTGGCACTGGGGGATTTGGGAACACACAGGGGGTGACACTGAGGGAATTGGGGACACTGCGGGACCCCACATGGCACGGGTGGCGGTGTGCGGGTCCCACTGCCCGCCCCCCAGACTGGGACCCTCGCTGGTGTCCCCTCCCCGCTCGCTGCGGCCACCAGCGGCTGTCACTGTCCGGTCCCATGGCCAGCACCAGGGACAGCTCCGCTCGCCCGCCCTGAGCGGCTCCCGGCCCGCGCGGTGATCCCGAGATCCCCCCAATCCCATTATAAAGACCCGATCCCCTGTAGAGCCCCCGATCCCCTGTAGAGCCTCCTATAGGGTCCCGGTCCCCTATAGAGTTCCTGATCCTCTATAGAGCCCCCGATCCCCTACAGACCTCCCTGATCCCCTACAGAATTCCTGATCCCCTATGGATCTCCCCGATCCCCTAAAGAGTTCCTGATCCCCTATAGAGCTTCGGGATCCCCCACAGACCCCCTGGGCCCCCTATAGACCCTCTGTCCCCCCCATACATCCCTGTGCTCTCCACCCATCCCCCGTCCCCTTCTCCCGCCGTCAGCACCGCGGACAGCTCCGCTCCCGGCCCCTATAGAGCCCCGAGCCCCCATGGACCCCCTGACCCCCCTATAAACTGCCCTGCCCCACTACAGGACCCCCGAACCCCCCATAGACCCCCTGACCCCCCTATAAACTGCCCTGCCCCACTACAG